TATAGATAGGACCAATATTATAGTGCGTAACAAATATCAGCACAAACCCAATATACTCTCCCCACTAAAGTGGTGTATGATATAAAAACACTCTACAATCAATATCCCTATATCTACAATACACAACCAAATGCAAATACAAACAGACTAATTTAAAGCTAAATAGAGAAAGTGAAAGCCATGAAACTTAGCAAATTTGCTAACGTTACCGTTTACACATTTGACTGCGTAGGCCTTTTTACTGTCGTTCTATCTTCCGTCTTTTAAATTTCCTAGTTATTGTGTTTTTTTTTTTTTTTCTTTCCACCACCGACATAACAATGTGGTTGTATGTGTGTCTATGCGTATGATTGCATTTGTGTAATTTTTGCAATTTTATTGTGTGGCATACAATTAGTATAATGTTTGTTTGACTTTTGCAAGGACTAACAGTAGTAGTTCTGTAAAATACTATATGTGTTAATACTTGTATTAGGGTGTTTGTTTTTATTGTTTTCCTTAGAAAGAAGAGTGAGACTAATTTCTCTAATATTGTAATTTTTAATTTGTTCTATAATATTTGTTAAAATCATAATATTTTTTTGTCCGATAAAAAAATTTTCAATATACATATATTTTCTTTAATTTGAACAATATAATTTTATAATATAAAATGAAATCCCCTATTGTATATGTTAGTATTGATAAACTTTCACATTCTTATTTGCCACAGAAAATTTTGTTATTTGAATATGAAGTTTGTTTATCATATTAACATATTTAAAACAAAACTACAACTACCACAACAATTAGATGAAATATCAGTAAAATTTTACCAACTGCAATACATGTACTTCACATATAAAGCTTGACTAATTGAAAAATAGTTATTAAATATTCATAAATATAAATAAAAGTACGCAATGATATGTAAATTATGTAAAAAAGCAATTACTAAAACTGAAGCTACCATTATTCAATCGAAAATAATGATTTATTTGGTTTAAAATTTTCCCCCTTTATAATTGCAAAATTTTTAAAATTTCAATTAGTTGGAATCGTTTTGACCATTTTCAATTCAATATGAAACTATCAGTTTATCCAATTATAATTTTGATTTTCGTTATCTTAATACTGCTAGTTTAATGTATGTTAGTCTAGAGCAAATATTGTTTTCAAAAATTAATTACATATATTAATTGATTAATATGTATTTTCTTAAATAAGTTATTTATTTATTTAAGAAATAAACAAATATCATTTTAATTAATATAATTTATCCTAATTGTAGCCTACTCCCATAATATGGGCAGAAATTCACGTTTACATTCATAACTTACACAGCGAGACAAAATAAACGAAAATTGATATACCTGGGAAGTGATACTATTTTTCTGAAAGGTGAATCCGAGTAGAACAAGAATATGTTTTTGAAATTTGCCAAACACCTCCAAAATCTTGAGTTACGGGTAAAAAACCGTTTTTTCGTACCTTTAGACACTTATAAGTCAGTAACTTAGTTAAATCTGGACCGATTTTAAGTTTAAGTTTCACTGATTTAGAAAGCAGAAGCTGAGGCCTTTATAATGACATATATGATGTTTAAGTAACCTGGAGAGATATGTGTGAATTTCATCAGCAAACATATTTTTTATTTAGCCTTTTCACCGTTGTACAAGTTTGGTGATGTTTTTTGAACGTATTTTATATGGGAACCGTACTATTTATTAATTGATTGGAAAACCCTGTCTATTTCCGGGAAAAAACCAACTTTGTTTTTAAAAATCCGTTAGCAATTGGCGACGTTATTGATATTTTTCTTAATACAAAATTGTTCATAAACTGATTTTCTGAAGGATGCTTTATATGGGAGATAGGGTTAAATAAGGTAATTTTCTGAAGGGGACCTTATATGGGGGGTAGGGTCAATTATGGACCGATCCTAAAAAGCTTTGGTAGAAAGATTTTGACTCATATGAAACTTATTTATGTCGAATTTCGTCGCTATACTCGAATGTTTAGGCCAGTAATGAGTGTTAAAGTCATTTTCTGAAAGGGACCGTATATGGGGAGTTGGATCAATTATGGACCGATCCTCAAAAAATTTAGTAGAAAGATGTTGGCTTATATGAAATTTATTTATATCGAATTTCAGCAGTTATGCCCGTTAAAGCTGTTTTTTGGAGGTCCACTTGTATGGGGGCTATCCGAAAACGTGGACCGATATTTCCAATTTTCAATGCCAAACAAACTTTAGCAATAGAGAATATTTATGCAAAATTTCAACTGTCTAGCTCCTCTCGTGTGGGCCGTATAGTAATTTCAACAGACAGACGGACGGACATGGCTAAATCGTCTTAGAATTTAATAAGGATCCAGAATATATATACTTTTATGGGTCTATGACCAATATTTCGATGTGTTATAAACGGAATGACAAAATCAATATATCCCCATCTTTTTTGATGGTGGGTATAAAAATCGGTTAATAAATAATGGATACATGAGCAATAATGCTTTTACAAAATAAAGAAACAACAACAACATACATTTTCATATGTAAATGTGAGAATAAAAGTTAAATTGACTTATACTGGGGCTAGGGAAAATGTGGAACTATCCTCATAAAATCAGGTCGATGGATCCACGTTTAAATAAAATATATTTATCCTAAATTTAATCCCAACATTAATCTTTTTAAGCGAATTGACATTTAACATAATTTACTGAAGGGGTATTTATATGAGAGAGTGAGGCCCGATGATTACAAAATTCGCCATACCTACATACCCTACACCACTAAAGTGGTGTAGGGTATAAATAAACGCTACGTATTAATCTCAGTATTGTTATTGTTTTATTATTGCCATTAAAATAAACCTAGAAACATAAGTCTAAACTTGCAGAACCTTGAGAGAATGAAAATCTGTTAGAGAGGATATCTGGTACTTTTTCGTTCTTCAAAAGGTAATTTTTTGGCTTTTCCACAATATAAGATCCTGATGGAATAAAAATCTATAAGAATTAATTTTTTGGTACTTTTTCATTCTTCATTCTTGATTCTTTTATAATATTCAACCTTGAATGAAAATCTAAAATACGGACTTTCTGGTACTAGAAACAATTTCAGACATATAATATCTTCATGGAATGAAAATTTGTGAAAGTAAACTTTTTGGTAATTTTTCGTTCTTCAACTGGTACTTTTGAGTCTTTTTCAATATTAAACCTAGAATTAAACACACAGAGTCCTGATTAAATGAAAAACTAATGCAACATTTTAGTTCAATCGTTTAAGAGGAAATCACTTTAATGTTGTAAAATTGGAAGAAAATTCTATATATTTGGACCGATTTTAAAAATAATTAAATTAACTTCCGAGAGTATAAAGTATATGGGGAATTTCGTGTTAAGTGATCCAACTTTTAAAATCCATGTCTTCCATTTTGGATGAAATTTTCACCATGGTTAGTACTATGTAACCAAAAGCGCTCAATGGAAATGGTTTAAGGTTTCCCTTGAGTGATAAAAATACAACAAAAACGTCAATTTTGAAAAAAAAAAATTATTCTTGAGTTAAAAAGTATTTTTTTGATAGAAATCCCACTCAAAACTGTATAAGTTTTCTTTTAAGCAAAAAAAAAGGCCCATTAAAAAAATTAATATTTAAAAAAATTTTCGAAAGAATGAAGAAATATCTATCTGAAATCCTTTGGAAAATTTTTGCTATGACCAATAGGTGAAAAATTACACTCATTTGAATAAAACCATGTATGACCAAAATGTCCAACTTTGACACCCTCTATGTCCGGGAGTTCTTGACCGATAGAGCTGATCTTCTATATAATAGTACTAACCTTGGTGCAAATTTTGTCAAAATTGATTTTTTGAGTTGAGTCACTTGACATGAAATTACCCATAAATATTCTAGATATTTATAAATAGAGGAGTTGATTTTGCTGTCAGATGTAATCAATTTTCTAAATCTGCAAAATCGGGCCATAAATAACAGAGGTATGGTCAAAACCACGAATTAAAGATGACAGTCATTCATTTGTAATTCGAAAGGTAATGTAAACTAAATTACGGAATTCACACCTGAAATTTTTTATGGAGAATAATGTTACCCAAATTATTGGGAAGAGAATGAGTTCGTGAACTATAAATAATTGTATAAAGAGGACATGAAAGGACATGACATTATTTGCTGCAGCATTGTTGCAATATCTCCCAAATACATTACCCTTAAGAAACATGTATCTAAACGTTGAATATATGTAAATGTGTACTATCACTATGACCTTGAAATAAAGCAACATTTTATACTATTCTTAAACTTTATGTTGTTAACTTTAAATATATGTAATGTTAATATAATATGTAAAGCTTTGTCCTAAAAAGTTTTAAGAAAATTTATCCGCAATTTCTAAAAAACATCGAGGAAGCCATAAATTATAACAATTGGTACAATAGAAAGTATCTGCTCTAATACATATAACAACTAGTATACATATTATCTAAAATGCTCAAAATATTTTATAACATAATGTACTAAACTCAAGTGGGAATAGTTAAAAAATATGATATACTTACTTGAAACAAGCTAAATTTCTAACAGATACAAAATATTTTCAACTTTATAACATATTTTCAAAAAAGCATTAAATCAAATTGAATAGTTAACATTATTTTAAAATATACCTTATATACTTCTGTAAAAGCCTTAAAAGTCCTTAAAAAAGTTTTATAGACCCAAATAAGCTTCAAGGATTTAGCATGTTTGCAACCCTTATAAACTGTTAGTGCGCAGGACAATACATTGCTTATAGAATTTAGCAAATCTGCCATCCCTTGTGTAGTGATTCTGGGTAATGCAATCTACAATGACTTCTAAACTGTGTGCTATAATACTTAGCTTCCACATACCACAATTCATTTTGTGGTACATGTACAATGCATTCGCATAAATTATGATCCACTTACGTACCATCCACTTGACTTCCACAAATAATATGCCATAATTCGAAGTTTTGTAAATAATATATAATACCATAAAATTAACTATTAAACTAAAACAAAAGCATATTCAACAACCTATTTTTTACATAAAAAAATAAAACAACAATAATAAACAAAAAAGCTCTAAGGCTCAAAGCTTTTGTTGTCAAAGCCTAAAGGCTTAAAAGGACCCTCAAAAGTTGGGCTGGGTATCTTGTATACTGGATATAAAGGAGCAAATTCACAAGGACCAAAAGCATGCTGCTCATCCTCATTGATATTACTGCGCACCGTATGATAGGACTCTTCATAGGAGGGAGGAGCTAAAATTTTTAATAAATTAATTTAAAATATTAAAATTTTTACTTTAAATAAAGAACTCACGCAAATTTGGTGTTATCAACTCCAAATTAGGAGCTGAACTCATTTCTTGTTCCAACTCCAAAGGCAAATCTATAGGTCTTTCCCTATAGGTGGGCTGTTCTTGTATCACCTCCATACCACTGGTATTATTAGCCAACGGTATATTGCCTATAATAACCGGTAAAGTTACCACTTGACTTTTGTGAAACGATTTCATAGCAACCTCCATTTCAACTTGATACATAATTTGTATAACGCCACATGTCTGCAGACATGTAGGTGGTGTTGCTGGTACATGTATTTCATCTCTTAATGATCTGGTGCAATTTCTTAGCACTCCATCATTTTTGATTTTACTCACACTTATACGTTGTACATTATGACGTGTAGGATTTTGACTAATATAACGAACCAGCATGACTAAAGCAAATTTAACCTCTGAAACTGGTATGCTGGTGTTGTTAATAATTAAAGCTTGTACGGGTATACTTTGACCGGGTACATAACCAGCTTGAGGTATTTTAAGTTCCATTTTAAGTGGCTCAGTGGTACAGGGGCCACAGCAGAATGTACGATAGGCTTCACTGTTGGAGGGGATCTGAAAAAATAAGAAAATAATGCAGTAAATACTTTTAGTATTACAATAGACATAAGTTTCATCTTAATATAATTTATAGCTGGCATGGGGGGTAATGATTACACAAAGTAATTAATTACAAGCCCAATTACAATTACTTGTAAGGTGTAAGTGAACAATAACCAATTGAATTTACTTGTAATTGAAGTTTTTCCAATTACAATTACTTGTAATGTGTAATAGACCAATCACCATTTACAATTATTTGTAATTGAAGTTTTGCCAATTACAATTACAATTACTTGTAATTCTAATTGAATTTGTCAATTAAAATTACATGTAATTGTTATTTAGGTATTTCTAATTACAAATTACATGTAATTATAAGGAAAAAATCCACAGTTACATGTAATTGTAATTGGAAATTCTTCAATTACAATTAAAAGTAAAATTACAATTACAAGTAATTGTAATTGTAATGGGCAAAATTTAAATTAAAATTACAAATTGGCAAAACTTGAATTATAATTACAAATAATTGTAATTGGTAAAACTTTAATTACAATTACATGTAATTATAATTGGTAATGCTTCAATTACAATTACTTCAAATGTAATTGTAATTGAAAATGTAGTCATTATCCCCCAAGCCTGATTTATAGGAATGACAATCTGATTTTCTAGTTACTAGGTAATATATTATTGTATAAACTAGTCAATAGAATAGTTTATAGACTGAATAATAAGATAGTCCATAGATCACACAATAGAATATGTATAAACTTCTCAATACTTCTGAGACTGATCTAATCCCAGTAGACTAGTCAATAGGGTATTCAATGGACCAGTTAACAGACTAGTCCATAAACTAAGTTATAGTCAATTCAATAATTCATTTAATGCAGTTAACATATTAGTATAAAGATCTATAAACTAGTCAATATACAAGTCCATAGACTGTTTAATAGACTAGACTATAGAATTGCTAATATACTGCTCAGTATACTTGACCATAGACTAGTAAAATAGTCGATAAAGCATTAGATTGATCAACAAACAATATTATAAGATAATCCATAGACAGTTCAGTAGACTGTTCCACGGGCTAATCCAAGACTGCTTAAAGGTCCATAGAATCATCAGTAGATTAGTCCACTATTTCATGGATTAGTCAAAAGGGCAGCCCATATACCAAACCATAGACTAGTACATAAACTTGTTATTAGACTAGTCCATAGAATAGGCAATATACCAGTCTATAGACTAACAAGAGATTTGTCAATCAGTAGACTAGGCAATGGGCTAGTCAACAGACCAGTCCATAAACTAAGCCATATACTAGTCGATAATTCATTTAAAACATAAGTCCACAGACTAATCACTAAACTATTTGTTAGACTAGTCAATAAAGGCAATAGGCAATTACATAAACTATGAAATAGTCAATAGGCTAGATCATTAGTTAATAGAAAATCAGATCAATAGACTGTTCCATAGACTAGTCCATAGGCTTATTCATAGTACAGTCAAAGGTCCATAAAATAGCTAATATACAAGTTAATTCACTAATCCATAGATTGGCTATTCAATGGGTTAATCCATAGAAAAGTCAGTAGAATATTGAATAGACTGTTGCACAGACTAGTCAATAGGCGAGTTCACAAACACAATTTCATGATTTCATAACTCTGTACAATTGAATACGGTTGAAGTTGAGGGGTTTTTGAGTTGATTGACTGTTGGCGGTGGTCGAGGGCCGATTGTCCCTCTTCAGCTTTAAGAGATATTTAGGCCGACGGAAGATCGTAAATTTGTTTAAATATATCTTCTGAGGTTTTTATTAAATTCTAAAAAGAATTAGATGAATCACAGAACTGAATAAAATTTATCATTTTTTAGTTATGACATCTTGAATAGTTCCAGAAATACAGAATAAATTCGAAAAATAAAATTTTCTAAATCACTGTGTAACGGTGCACTACAAAGAGAATTAAGCTCTCTCCATTGTCCTAATGTTAAACTTTCATTTATTACGAATAAATATATAACAAAATCTTACCCTTATCTGTGGTGATTCAAAATTCAAATCTGTCATTCTTAACACCGTAAAACCTCTCTTATATGTCTGATCAAATTTCCAAGGTCTAATCAAAGCAACTTTAACCGTATAACGAATATGACCATGCAAACCCTCAAACGAAGAGGGACAATCTTGAGGCAATTGACAGGCGAATGTAAATGTATGAACACCAGTGGCTAAGGTAGTTTTGGAACCTTAAATGAAAAATATTAAATTTAATTATTCTAAAAATTTGTGATAAGCAAAACTACTTACTATTTTCAGAACCCATTAAATAGGTGGTGGAAGACAAATAATCTTCATGTCCTCGATAAATGCGACGAGTATTGAATCTTCTTTCGCTCCATAATATATGAGCAAAGCCGGATATTTTTAATTGAATAGCTGAAATTGAAAAAATATACATATATATAAAATATGGAACTGTAGAGTAAATGAAGATAAGATTTTTTTTTAATATTTTCGCTATATCATCACTAACTGTATACTTATTTAAATATTTTTATATCTTATCCAAGTTTCTTGCTCAATATATAGTATGTTTATTTTTACTATTTTTATGTTATTTAAACTAAAATTATCTATCATAAATTATTCTTTTGCTGTGCTAAATTTCTTTTACAGAAATATGTATTAAAATATTTATACTAAAATTTCCATAAATTTTTAAATAATTACGCCATTCCTCTAATATGACTAATTTGTTTTTGTTTTATTAAATAAACATTATTTTGTTTTAACTCAGATAACACTATAATAAATGACAAAATGAAAATACTGGTACTAAGTCCTAAATTAAATATAACTAATACCCCATCATTAAAGACTGCAAGAAGAAATTGTGCAAAAATTGACTACGTACCCTTGACGTCCTTGGCTTTATCACATTTGAGTACAATAGTACCACTAACTAATTGTCCGGCAAAATAACAGGCTGTTTTATTTTGATCAAATTCTATATCACACGTTACGACCATTGTGCCCCGTACCACTAAAGAATAAATACTAAACTAACTACCACATTTTTTGTGTTTTAATGGAATCAATTAAATGACTACCAGAAAATTATTCTCACTCATTCTCTCGGCTCGATTAATAAAATAATAGTCGGTACTCCAAAAATTGTTTATCAAAAACATAAAACAATAGAACATATCCGAACTTATGATAACCTAAACCAGAGAATTTTGAAAGTTCTAGTTTATAGCTTAGTTAGTATTAAAATGGACCAGCAACTGAACAAACCTTATAAAATGAAAATCTTTTTGATAAATTTCAGTCCTCTGACACAACCTATTTAAGCCCTATATGGCAAATCAACATACAGACGAATTAACCTTAAACAGACATAGCTAGATCACCTTAAAATAATTCCCGAACCCAGAAGGTCTATGACCAACTTATTACAAACGGTATGAAAAACACAATATACCCCCTTTTTTAACAACAACAAAATTAAGTAAAAGTAAAAACCCACGTTTAATCAGTAAAAACAAAAAAAATTATTAAGTTAAATTTTAATGCTAAAACAATAACAATTTAAGTAGTAACTAAATTAAAGAGATTTTTATTTCAAAATTTATTTTAACCAAATGATAAGCGCCATCAGAGAAAATACTTTATTTGAAAATACATTGATAAAAATAAAAGCAAAACAGTGGTATTGAAAGTTATTTATTTGAAGAGAGAAAACATTTACAGTATTTTCATTGAAGAGAAGAAGTGTTGCATATAATAACAATCAATGTTAATCAAATAAAACAATAATCATTAGTATTGATAGCAAATATTTAATGCAGAGCAGCAAATAGATGTTAACACAGCTGGAAAAAAATTTAACATTAAATATTATTATCTTAAAGTACTTTTGTACGTCAAATTAAAATGGTAGTTCCCACGCAACTGTTTAAATATATAGTTCGATAGTTATTATGATTCATTAATCTCTCTAGGATTTTTTAAATGAGATTAAGTTTAATCACACGTTATTCAATGCCAATAATTCCTGCTTAAACCATGTTCATCACTAAAATAGATTTTTACCTTGTGAACAATAATGTTTTGTATTTTATTTATTGGAAATTCCCCTACAGCAAGCACTGGCTAAAAATTTGTCAGAATATTTTTGTGGCCGGACATAAAGGAATATTTCATCATGACAACTTTCGGGCACATGTTGTCATAACTATTAAAACTATTTAGATATAGGTGATACGAAAGTTTTTCCTCTTCCGCCTTATAAGGACCTTTTTACCACTTTTTGGCATTTTCGGTACTTCTTCTAACTTATAAACATTTGATAAGTAGTCCTCATACATAGTTGTCATTAGACCAGATCGTAGTTTATAGTCTAGTCTATAGTCTAGTCTATAGTCTATTCTATAGTCTAGTCTATAGTCTAGTCTATAGTCTAGTCTATAGTCTAGTCTATAGTCTAGTCTATAGTCTAGTCTATAGTCTAGTCTATAGTCTAGTCTATAGTCTAGTCTATAGTCTAGTCTATAGTCTAGTCTATAGTCTAGTCTATAGTCTAGTCTATAGTCTAGTCTATAGTCTAGTCTATAGTCTAGTCTATAGTCTAGTCTATAGTCTAGTCTATAGTCTAGTCTATAGTCTAGTCTATAGTCTAGTCTATAGTCTAGTCTATAGTCTAGTCTATAGTCTAGTCTATAGTCTAGTCTATAGTCTAGTCTATAGTCTAGTCTATAGTCTAGTCTATAGTCTAGTCTATAGTCTAGTCTATAGTCTAGTCTATAGTCTAGTCTAGTCTATATAGTCTATGTCTAGTCTATAGTCTAGTCTATAGTCTAGTCTATAGTCTAGTCTATAGTCTAGTCTATAGTCTAGTCTATAGTCTAGTCTATAGTCTAGTCTATAGTCTAGTCTATAGTCTAGTCTATAGTCTAGTCTATAGTCTAGTCTATAGTCCAGTCTATAGTCTAGTCTATAGTCTAGTCTATAGTCTAGTCTATAGTCCAGTCTATAGTCTAGTCTATAGTCTAGTCTATAGTCTAGTCTATAAGTCTAGTCTAGTCTAGCCTATAGTGTAGTCTATAGTCTAGTCTATAGTCTAGTCTATAGTCTAGTCTATAGTCTAGTCTATAGTCTAGTCTATAGTCTAGTCTATAGTCTAGTCTATAGTCTAGTCTATAGTCTAGTCTATAGTCTAGTCTATAGTCTAGTCTATAGTCTAGTCTATAGTCTAGTCTATAGTCTAGTCTATAGTCTAGTCTATAGTCAGGTCTATAGTCTAGTCTATGTCTAGTCTATAGTCTAGTCTATAGTCTAGTCTATAGTCTAGTCTATAGTCTAGTCTATAGTCTAGTCTATAGTCTAGTCTATAGTCTAGTCTATAGTCTAGTCTATAGTCTAGTCTATAGTCTAGTCTATAGTCTAGTCTATAGTCTAGTCTATAGTCTAGTCTATAGTCTAGTCTATAGTCTAGTCTATAGTCTAGTCTATAGTCTATTCTATAGTATGTCTATAGTCTAGTCCTATAGTCTAGTCTATAGTCTAGTCTATAGTCTGTCTATAGTCTAGTATTAGTCTAGTCTATAGTCTAGTCTATAGTCTAGTCTATAGTCTAGTCTATAGTCTAGTCTATAGTCTAGTCTATAGTCTAGTCTATAGTCTAGTCTATAGTCTAGTCGATAGTCTGTCTATAGTCTAGTCTATAGGTCTAGTCTATAGTCCTAGTCTATAGTCTAGTCTTAGTCTAGTCTATAGTCTAGTCTATAGTCTAGTCTATAGTCTAGTCTAGTCTATAGTCTAGTCTATAGTCTAGTCTATAGTCTAGTCTATAGTCTAGTCTATAGTCCTAGTCTATAGTCTAGTCTATAGTCTAGTCTAGTCTATAGTCTAGTCTATAGTCTAGTCTATAGTCTAGTCTATAGTCTAGTCTATAGTCTAGTCTATAGTCTAGTCTATAGTCTAGTCTATAGTCTAGTCTATAGTCTAGTCTATAGTCTAGTCTATAGTCTAGTCTATAGTCTAGTCTATAGTCTAGTCTATAGTCCTAGTCTATAGTCTAGTCTATAGTCTAGTCTATAGTCTAGTCTATAGTCTAGTCTATAGTCTAGTCTATAGTCTAGTCTATAGTCTAGTCTATAGTCTAGTCTATAGTCTAGTCTATAGTCTAGTCTATAGTCTAGTCTATAGTCTAGTCTATAGTCTAGTCTATAGTCTAGTCTATAGTCTAGTCTATAGTCTAGTCTATAGTCTAGTCTATAGTCTAGTCTATAGTCTAGTCTATAGTCTAGTCTATAGTCTAGTCTATAGTCTAGTCTATAGTCTAGTCTATAGTCTAGTCTATAGTCTAGTCTATAGTCTAGTCTATAGTCTAGTCTATAGTCTAGTCTATAGTCTAGTCTATAGTCTAGTCTATAGTCTAGTCTATAGTCTAGTCTATAGTCTAGTCTATAGTCTAGTCTATAGTCTAGTCTATAGTCTAGTCTATAGTCTAGTCTATAGTCTAGTCTATAGTCTAGTCTATAGTACTAGTCTATAGTCTAGTCTATAGTCTAGTCTATAGTCTAGTCTATAGTCTAGTCTATAGTCTAGTCTATAGTCTAGTCTATAGTCTAGTCTATAGTCCTAGTCTATAGTCTAGTCTATAGTCTAGTCTATAGTCTAGTCTATAGTCCTAGTCTATAGTCTAGTCTATAGTCTAGTCCATAGTCTAGTCTAGAGTCTAGTCTATAGTCTAGTCTATAGTCTAGTCTATAGTCTAGTCCTATAGTCTAGTCTATAGTCTAGTCTATAGTCTAGTCTATAGTCTAGTCTAGTAGTCTAGTCTAGTCTGTCTATAGTCTAGTCTATAGTCTAGTCTATAGTCTAAGTCTATATAGCTAGTCTATAGTCTAGTCTATAGTCTAGTCTATAGTCTAGTCTATAGTCTAGTCTATAGTCTAGTCTATAGTCTAGTCTATAGTCTAGTCTATAGTCTAGTCTATAGTCTAGTCTATAGTCTAGTCTAGTCTAGTCTATAGTCTAGTCTATAGTCTAGTCTATAGTCTAGTCTATAGTCTAGTCTATAGTCTAGTCTATAGTCTAGTCTATAGTCTAGTCTATAGTCTAGTCTATAGTCTAGTCTATAGTCTAGTCTATAGTCTAGTCTATAGTCTAGTCTATAGTCTAGTCTATAGTCTAGTCTATAGTCTAGTCTATAGTCTAGTCTATAGTCTAGTCTATAGTCTAGTCTATAGTCTAGTCTATAGTCTAGTCTATAGTCTAGTCTATAGTCTAGTCTATAGTCTAGTCTATAGTCTAGTCTATAGTCTAGTCTATAGTCTAGTCTATAGTCTAGTCTATAGTCTAGTCTATAGTCTAGTCTATAGTCTAGTCTATAGTCTAGTCTATAGTCTAGTCTATAGTCTAGTCTATAGTCTAGTCTAGTCTATAGTCTAGTCTATAGTCTAGTCTATAGTCTAGTCTATAGTCTAGTCTATAGTCTAGTCTATAGTCTAGTCTATAGTCTAGTCTATAGTCTAGTCTATAGTCTAGTCTATAGTCTAGTCTATAGTCTAGTCTATAGTCTAGTCTATAGTCTAGTCTATAGTCTAGTCTATAGTCTAGTCTATAGTCTAGTCTATAGTCTAGTCTATAGTCTAGTCTATAGTCTAGTCTATAGTCTAGTCTATAGTCTAGTCTTATAGTCTAGTCTATAGTCTAGTCTATAGTCTAGTCTATAGTCTAGTCTATAGTCTAGTCTATAGTCTAGTCTATAGTCTAGTCTATAGTCTAGTCTATAGTCTAGTCTATAGTCTAGCTATAGTCTAGTCTATAGTCTAGTCTATAGTTCAGTCTATAGTCTAGTCTATAGTCTAGTCTATAGTCTAGTCTATAGTCTAGTCTATAGTCTAGTCTATAGTCTAGTCTATAGTCTAGTCTATAGTAGTCTATAGTCTAGTCTATAGTCTAGTCTATAGTCTAGTCTATAGTCTAGTCTATAGTCTAGTCTATAGTCTAGTCTATAGTCTAGTCTATAGTCTAGTCTATAGTCTAGTCTATAGTCTAGTCTATAGTCTAGTCTATAGTCTAGTCTATAGTCTAGTCTATAGTCTAGTCTATAGTCTAGTCTATAGTCTAGTCTATAGTCTAGTCTATAGTCTAGTCTATAGTCTAGTCTATAGTCTAGTCTATAGTCTAGTCTATAGTCTAGTCTATAGTCTAGTCTATAGTCTAGTCTAGTCTAGTCTATAGTCTAGTCTATAGTCTAGTCTATAGTCTAGTCTATAGTCTAGTCTATAGTCTAGTCTATAGTCTAGTCTATAGTCTAGTCTATAGTCTAGTCTATAGTCTAGTCTATAGTCTAGTCTATAGTCTAGTCTATAGTCTAGTCTATAGTCTAGTCTATAGTCTAGTCTATAGTCTAGTCTATAGTCTAGTCTATAGTCTAGTCTATAGTCTAGTCTATAGTCTAGTCTATAGTCTAGTCTATAGTCTAGTCTATAGTCTAGTCTATAGTCTAGTCTATTAGTCTAGTCTAATCGTCTCGTCTATAGTCTAGGTCTATAGTCTAGTCTATAGTCTTAGGTCTATCGTCTAGTCTATAGTCTAGGTCTATAGTCTAGTCTATAGTCTAGGTCTATAGTCTAGTCTATAGTCTAGTCTATAGTCTAGTCTATAGGTCTAGTCTATAGTCTAGTCTATAGTCTAGGTCTATAGTCTAGTCTCTAGTCTAGTCTATAGTCTAGTCTATAGTCTAGTCTATGTCTAGCGCTATAGTCTAGTCTATAGTCCTCGTCTATAGTCTATTCTATAGTCTTAGTCTATAGTCTAGTCTATAGCTCTAGTCTATAGTCTATTCTATAGTCTATTCTATCGTATAGTCTATAGTTCTAGTCTAGGTTAGTCTATAGTCAGTCTAGTCTAGTCTATAGTCTAGTCTATAATCTAGTCTATAGTGTTAGTCTTTAGTATAGTCATAGTTTAGTCTATAGTCTAGTCTGTAGTCTAGTCTAGTCTAGTCTATAGTCTAGTCTATAGTCTAGTCTATATTCTGTTTTACAGACTAGTCTATAATCTAGTCTATAGTCTAGTCTATTTTTAAGCCAGAAATGAGCTTTAAATCCATTTTCTGATGGGTACCTTATATGGGGGTAGGGTCAATTGTGGACCGATCCTCATAAAATTTAGTGTAGAGGCCCATATGAAAATAATTTGTATCATCGCTTTAAACAAATTTTTAAAACAGTTATGACTATTAAAACTCTTTTTCGGGGGTCATGCGAAACATGAGCCGATATTACCAATATTTTCAATACCAAAGAAATCTTACCTATAAGAAATATTTATGGAAAATTTCAAATTTTTGTCACTTTCCGTTTGCTCTCTATATTGCGTTCAACAGACGGACGGACTGACATGGCTATATGATCTTAGAATTTAATAAGGACCCAGAATATGTATACTTTTGTTTGTCTATGATCAATATCTCGCTGTATTACAGATGGAATTGTTTTGGTGTTGAGTATAACAAGAAAACATCATAATGATAAATTAATAAATTTTCATATTTTAATATCTGTAAACGCAGCATGGGGAGGAGGTTGAAAACTTTTTATTACAAAAATATAAATATAACAAAACAAACAACAATTTATTTTACAGCCAAGTAGTTTTATCAGGATCTGTTACTGTCGGTGGTACAGCAGGACCATCTGTTTCATCCGCAGTACAGGGCAGAGGGCTAGTAGGACTTGGTATATTGAAAACTGGATATTTGGGAGAAAAATTTTTTTCACCATAATCATGAGCAGAATCTTCAGAAAGTTTAGCCTCGGACATGTGAGTGGCTGGCATGTATACGGGAGGAGCTAGGGGGGTAAATATAAAAAAATATAAATATTATAAGTTTAATAAAAATGAACTAAACTTACGTATATTGCCTATGGTTGACCATGGTTCCATATTTCTATTACTAGTTGAAGCATCATTATTATTTTCTGCAGCTGCCATACCGTTGGACTCGTAGCCAATTTGTCTACGCATGGGTTGTTGTTGCACCACCATACCATCCATTTGTAAAGGAACATTACCAATGGTAACCGGTAACTGAATGCATTGATTGGTATACAACATACCCTGCATTTTTGCCTCCACTTCTATATGATATGCAATTTGTATAATATTGCAGAGGGTGGAACATGTGGGTGGTGTGGCAGGTATAGGTAGTAAATAATTAAATTGTTTTTTACTATGTCTTAAGACTGGATCACCTATTAATTTTGAAACAGTTTTACGTTCCGTGTTACTTCTACGTGTTGGATGTGTACTAAACAAAGTTATTATCATTACCAAACGTACACAAATTTCATTAATACGTGCCGATGTTTCGTTTGTTACTAATATATTAACCGGTATAAGTTGACCCGGTACAAAACCAGTTTGTGGTAGATGAACATTTATTTGTAAGGGATCACTTTTACAGGGACCACAACAGAAAATTTTCGAAATATCGGAGGTAATAGGAAGCTGAAAGATAAAGACATTTAACATATCATTACATTAATATGATAATAATAGAATTCAAATATAAATTATAAGAAATCCTAAGTATAAAGTCGCCTATTTGCATACCTTCAAATCTTCGTCATAATTTAAATCTTTAATATTGACCACCGTAAAACCTTTTGTATAAATTTGATCAAATTTCCAGGGACGTTTTAAAGTAACTTGAACCCAGTAACGTATATAGCCATTGAATCCCTCAACTGAAGAGGGACTCTGTGGAGGTATAAGACAAGTGAAGGGAAATGTGTGAACACCAGGTTCTATAATGACACCTTCACTAGCATTGCCAGCTAAAATGAAAATAGCTTAGCTTCGAAAAATAATTAGAAAACAAATGCCTAAAACACTTACAGCCTTTGGAGAAATCAAATAAATATGTTTTCGATTTAATATAATCTATATGACCATCATAAGTAACGGATTTTTTATCATCACCCGTGCCTTCATCTTCAGACCAACTTGTATTGGCACAACCATTTATTTTTAATGTTACAGCTGAGAAATAAAGAAAATCATTTTAAAATAACTTTGTCTGCTGTTTTGATGACTCATTCAAATAATTATTGTAATTTTTTAGTTGCAACGAAACATAAAAGTACCTTTAACTTGTTTAGGTTCATCGGCTGTCAATGTTACTTTTCCGCTAACTAATTGTCCCGCCAAATAAGTGTCACTTCCATTGTTTTCAAATTCTATCAAACAGGTTACCACCATTTTTGTTTTTAATTTTAAATATTTCAGTTTTTTTATTTTCCTTATTTATTATTTGTTCTGTTACGTTCAACTAATTCAGAAATACTATTTTGATTCGCATTATATCGATGAATCAATAATATTTTGAGTTCTCTCTGGTCTTATCGTAAAGTTTGTTTCTCTTTATCTTTAACATTTATGACTACTATGTTATGAAATTGAGAGTATTATCAGTTGAAATCACATTAACAAGCACAAGTAAGAACTCTGTTATCTTTAGTAATAAAAAAAATTAATAAATGTGAATACCCTGTATAGAGTCGAACATGGTTATAACGAACTTGAAGGTAAAACAATAAAATTAGTTTGTTATTAATAATCGAACATTTATAACTACCTAATTAATATTACATATATATATGCTTTTCAAATAAGAAAATTAAACATAGATTAGCTATAGTTGGAATATTTATACACAAAACCCATAATTCATAACTGGGAACATGACTTTTTTAAAACCAGTAAAATCAGTCCTTAAGTATTAGAGATATGATCAATAAAATTTAACTTGTTTGGTGGGGGGAATATTGTGTTTCTTATGGATTAGGGGATATAAAATTGTAAATTTGCATTTCGGTGGAAAAGTCCAAACGTTTCAAAAATAAAACAAATATGTATAGTCGGTCATGGCCGACCGTATTTTACATATGTAAACAAGTAAGAAAGTATAGTCGGACGTGGCCGACCATATGATACCCTACACCAGTTATGAATATTAAATGTGATTTATTTTTCATAATATCGCATTTATCTTCAATATTCCCTTGTTCCGATACATTTAAGCAATTTATGGATGAAAAACTAATTTTCTGAAAGAGGCTTTATATGGGGGCTAGGGGCAAATATGGACCAAGCCCGATAAAATTTTGTGAATATATTTATATTTACATAATATTTTATTGTGCTGAATTTCATCGCGATATTTGTGTTAATAAGTTAATTTGGGACATTCAAGTAATTTTCTGAAGGGGACTTTGTATGGGAGCTAGGGTCAAATGGGGCCCGATCTTTATGAAATTTGGCAGGGTTATCAAGACTTCTATAAAACTTAGTTATGCCGTATTTTATCGATATATCTGTATATTTAACATAATTATGAGCTCAGAAGCCCTTTTCGGGGGGTTCTGTTCTATGGGGGCTAGGTGAAATAATGGACGGATTTTAACCATTTTCAATAGGCTTCGTCCTTGGGTCAAATAAAACGTGCGTGCCAAATTTCATCCAATTATCTTGAAAATTGCGACCTGTAGCTTGCGCACAAGGTTTACATGGACAGCCAGCCAGCCAGCCACACGGACGGACGGACGGACGGACGGACGGACATAGCTTAATCGACTCAGAAAACGATTCTAAGCCGATTGGTATACTTTAAGGTGGGTCTAGGACGAATATTTTTATATGTTACAAACATCAGCACAAATCCAATATACCCTCCCCACTAAAGTGGTGTAGGGTATAAAAATGTAAATAATTTTAAATAACAATTAAGAAACTATAGTCGGTCGTGGCCGACTATATGATTCCCTACACCAACTGCGAATATTAAATGTGATGTCAATAATAAAGCATTTATGTTGAATCTTACATAGGTTCCAAATAATGTCTGTTCCTGTACGGTTGTCAACAGCCTTCGTCATTGGATCCAGAAAAAAGTATGTGACAAATTTTAACAAATCATATTGGAAATTGCGAGCTCTAGCGTGCACTCACGGTTTTCACGGTCACAAAGACGGACATAGCTTAATCGAATCAGAAAGCGATTATGAACCGAATCATATACTTAAGAACAAATATTTTTGAGTGTTACAAATATCAGCGCATTGCGCCGATTTTTGCATTTAAAAGATAAAAGGCCCAAATCGGAAGGACCGGTTATATGGGGCCTAGGACTAAACTTGGACCAATCCTTTTAAATTTTATTGTCGGGATTTATGTTTATATAAAACATATTTGTGCCGAATTTCATCGTGATACTAGCGTTTATAAGTGAATTGTGGACATTCAAGTCATTTTCTAAAGGGACTTTGTATTTGGCCTAGGGTCAAATAATGCCCGATCTTTATAAAAATCGCTACAATTATTAAGTCTTATATAAAATTAAGTTTTACCAATTTTTGTAGAGATAGTGGATCATTTAACATAATTATGAGGTCAAAACCCCTATTCGGGGGGTCCGGTTGTATGGGGGCTAGGTGAAATAATGAACCGATTTCAACCATTTTCAATAGCGTTCGTCCTTGGACCAAAAGAAACACACGTTCCAAATTCCACACGTTCCATTATCTCGAAAAGTGTGACCTCTAGCGTGCGCACAAAGTTTACATAGACACACAGACAAACGGACAGACAGACGGACGAACAGACGGACATAGCTTCATCGACTCAGAAAGTGATTATGACTTTTTATGGAGGCTAGGGTCAAATTAGGCCCGATCATTACGAAAATTGGCAGTATTATTTATACCTATATAAAACTAAGTCTTATTAGAGATACAAGAACATTTAACATCGGTTTTATGGAGGCTAGACGAAATAATGGACCAAGGGCCATTTCGTTCTTGTGGCAAAGAAAGAGTATTTGGTTTACATGTACACACAGACGGGCGGGCTTAATTTAGCTAAATCGACTCAGAAAGTGATTCTTAGCCGATTGGTATATTTTAAGGTGAGTATAGAAATAATATTTTTGTGTGTTACAAACATCAGACAAACGCATAATAACCTTCCAATTACAGTGGTGTAGGGTATAATGAAAATGTTAATTTCTAGTCCACGTGATATTTGTTTTATAATTGTTGAATTGTATTATGATATTAATATGAACACTAGGTTGATTGTGTACCGAGCTAAACGAAATCGTGGACCTATATTACTCATTTTTAACACCAAACGTAAAGAATATTTACCTCCTGGTACCTATTATGCTTTCAACAGACAAATGGAAATGGCTTGAAATCTCAAAATCTAACAAATACATTTTGATGGTGGGTATACAAAACATTAAAACAGTATCCATGGATTTTCGGTTAAGAAATTAATGTATAAACACTATATACAAACTCCTTTAGGCTATAGCTAACCCATTAAGAATTAAAATTTCATACATCTAATATAAGAACATTACCAAACAATACATTTACTTACCTTTAACAGAGGAGTATCGTAATTTAAATTTTTGATAGAGAGTACAGTAAAAGGCCTAGTAAATGTTTGATCAAATTTCCAGGGTCGTACTAAAGCAACCTGTATGATATAACGTATATTACCCCTAAAACTTTCAAAAGATGAAGGACAGTTTGCAGGTATATGACAGGCAAAACTAAATGTATGAATACCAGGTTCAATTATTACAGCTTGATCTAAAACAATAAATAAAATAAAGAAATTTAATAAAATAAATATTTAAGAATTTACAGCATTTACACACCTGTAGCGTTTGGTGTTAATAAGCTAGTTAAGGTATTCATATAGTCCACCTGACCCCAGTAAGTGGTATCACTACTACTGCTAGTACTACTATTATTATTAGTACTAGTAGTAGAGCTTTTCTCAGTCCATCTGGTTTTTGCCGCACCACTTATTTTTAAAGTAACAGCTGTAAACACAATTTGCAATTGTTTAATGACGTCAGAATATTAGGAAAAAATTTAAGTTCTTAGGCTATTTATTTGCCTTAACAATGACTCATTGCCACTTGTACTTTACCTTTTACTTGTTTTATTTTATCTGCCGTTAAGGTAATTTTACCCGTTATTACTTGGCCAGCATAAAATGTGGCTTCTGGATTATTTTCAAATTGTATATCACACGTCACAACCATTTTGGAATTATTTAACTTTTTAAAGTTTTCTTTTTCAAAACGTTTTACCGCTTGAAATTCTATAGTTAATGTTTCAATAGTTCATTTATAACTTAAAGTCTGTTTTGATTTTCAAATACTTTGAAGTTATTAACTCTTTTTAGCAGATAAAAATACAAATACTAAATAAATATTATTATTTTGTTAATGTTCAACAGTTAAAAGTGTTTTTCAAACAACACGTTAACGTAAACAGTTCAATGCAAAATTTAGTCAAATACGAAAAGGTATATTTTTAGTTGGCTCAGATATTCTTATCGTTATTATGATAATAATTGAACTGCTCTTAACTGTTTCGTATAGGTACCGTGGAGAAACAATTTGGTATTTGAAACATAATGAGTATTTTTTCTTTTTTGTAAAACAAAATTATAAGATAAAAAATAATTTTGCTGTAATTTGTTATTTATTTATAATGAACTTGAAATATGTAAGTTATAGAACTCTAAGACTAATAGGGAGGTCCCCAAAAGTTAGCATGTTTAGACATGTCCAAACATTTTTAATAAAAAAGGAAATTTTTTCGAAAATGTTCTATGAAAAATAAAATTTTATCAAAAGAAGGCAAAAAAAAGAAAATTTATGAAAATTTTTATAAAAAAAAAAATTTTGTATAAAAATAAAATTTTTTGAATTTTTTAATAAAATAAAAATTTATTGACTATTGAAAAATAGAAAATTTATAAAAAAAATTTCCATAAAAAAAGAAAATTTAACGAACATTTTTCTATAAAAAGAAAATTTAGCAAAAATTTTCTTTCCTTTTAAGAAATTTTATTAAATTTTCTATAAAAAATATATATTAAATTTCTTATAAAAAGAAAATTTATCTTAAATTTTCTATAAAAAGAAAAATTATCTTAAATTTTATATAAAAAGAAAACTTATTTATATATAAAGAAAATTTTGTGACAATTTTCTATAAAAAAAAAAATTTGTGACAATATTCTATAAAAAGAAAATTTTGTGAAAATTTTCTGTATAAAAAGAAAATTTTGTGAAAATAAAAAGAAAATTTTGTGAAAATGTTCTATGAAAAGAAAATTTCTGTAGAAAAAGAAAGTTTTGTGAAAATTTTCTGTAGAAAAAGAAAATTTTCTCTGGAAAAAGAAAATTTTGTGAAAATTTTCTGTAGAAAAAGAAAATTTTGTGAAAATTTTCTATAAAAAAAAAATTTGTGACAATTTTCTATAAAAAATAAAATTTTATGAAAATTTTCTATTAAAAGAAAATTTTGTGAAAATTTCTTATAAAAAGAAAATTTTGTGAAAATTTGCTATAAAAAGAAAATTTTGTGAAAATTTGCTATAAAAAGAAAATTTTGTGAAAATTTGCTATAAAAAGAAAATTTTGTGAAAATTTGCTATAAATAGAAAATTTTGTGAAAATTTGCTATAAATAGAAAATTTTGTGAAAATTTTCTGTATTAAAAGAAAATTTTGTGAAAATTTTCTGTATAAAAAGAAAATTTTGTGAAAATTTTCTGTATAAAAAGAAAATTTTGTGAAAATTTTCTGTATAAAAAGAAAAGAAAAAAGAAAATTTTCTACAAAAAGAAAATTTTGTGAAAATTTTCTGTACAAAAAGAAAATTTTGTGAAAATTTTCTGTATGAAAAGAAAATTTTCTGTAAGAAAAGAAAAAAATTTTTACCGAAAATTTCCTCTTGATTAAGAAATTATTGAAAATTTTCTTAAAATACAACATTTTTTCCAGAAATTTTCTATAAAAGTTTTTAAAAATTTTCTATAAAAATGAAAATTTATTAAAAAATAAGAAAAATTATAGAAAATTCTCTATTTAAATAAATAAAATTCTCTATTTATATAAATAAAATATATCGAAAATTTCCATTTTTTACCAAAAATTTCCTCTTGAAAATTTTCTTAAAATTAAACTTAAAACGTTCATTTTCTATAAAGCTTTTTTAAAATTTTCTATAAAAAATATATAGAAAATTTTCTATTTATATATCATATCATATACATGTGTTTGTTTTCAGAATAATAAAAATTTATAATAATTTTTTGACAATTCACGGTACTTTCTAATTGTTAATAATAAATAATGTGTATAAAAAAAAAAAACAAAACTTTATTTCAAATAAAGTGACTCACCACCGCAAAACTTAATAAATCTTAAATAAATTGTCAAAATTAAAATAAATAAATAATACGCCACCAACATCTAATCAACAAATTTTACTTATCAGTTAAAAGAAAAAAACTTATCATTTCACTGATAACCGAGCAGACATTCGGAGAGAGAGGGAAAGAATTGAGAGGCAGACAAAGAGAGTTAAAAACACACAAAAACAAAAATAAACAAATCAACTTTGAATAATAAATACTTATAAAGATAAAAACTTATCAACAACAAATATTTACGACAACAACTTGCAAACATAAACTGAAAATAACCATGTTGCTGAAACGTTAAAGTGAGAATGAAATTCAGTTAATTGTTTTAACTCGTTTGTAAAGCATTTATTAAAAACCTGCTAACGGCATAATCAATTAATTTAATTATGATTAGAATTTGCTAAAGAATAGTGTGTTGTAAGCAAAACATTGATTGAATTTGGATTTTCGAAAAAAAATGGCCAATAATTGTGTTATAACTTTCGATCAAAATGAATACGGAACTTATTTTACCGGTCAGCTGTTAACGGGAAAAGTTGTAATAACTTTAAATAAACCGAAAAAGTTTAAAGGTATAGAATTGTAATAGAAACTGTTGGAGATAGAATAGAGCTAAAAGATCTTAATTTAATAAAAAATTTGATTCTCTAAATCTTCTTCTCTGAGTCCTATAAGGTTTTTTTTTTAAATAATTTACAAAATATTTTGGCTTTTTGTGATACACAAACTTTGCTATAAAAAACTTTTTGCTAAATTTATAAAAAATATAAAAATGTTTTATTTTCTAAATAATCACTTTTAATTTATTTAATACAAACATATTTCTATATCTTATCATTTTGATAAAAAACACTAAACATTCATCCATGAATAAAATATTTATGTACATTTCACTTAAAGTCATTGATAAGACTGCGCAGTGTACTTGATCTAAAAATATAAAATAAAACATGCATAATTAATTAGATCTTAATCGAAATTACTTGTTATACTTAATTTAAACAGAATATAATATTCCCTTACTTTTCGTACAGGCATTAAATTACAAATAAATGGCTATGCTCAATGTCAGTGGCGTGAACGACATGGACGCAAAAGACCCATTTATAAAACAAATTTAAAAAAGAGAAATATATTCTATGGTCATGAAGATTATATAGCGTCCACTACATTTTTAGTGGGCTCAGAGGAAGGACAAAGTTTTGCCATAGACTCGGGTACTCATACCTATACATTTTCCTGTCCTATACCCATGAATTGTCCCTCGTCATATGAAGGTGCTTTCGGTCATATACGTTATATGGTTAAAGTAACATTTATCAGATCGGGAGCTTCAAATCGTACACATACTAAGGGATTTACGGTATTGAAATTATTGGATTTGAATAGAGAATCAGCTCTTTTAAAGGTTAGTACATAATATTAATATAAACTATATAGTATATTAATGTTAATTCCTTCTCTTAACCCCCAGACTCCCGCTTGCAATGAATCCCTAGAAAACTTTTGCCTATTACCCAATAGCAAGGCGGTCCACTTAAGAGTAGATGTTACCCAAACCGGTTATGTGCCGGGACAAATGATTTTAGTTAGTTCACATGTCAACAATGAATCCAGTGCTGATGTTAAGAAACTTTTGATTACTTTAAATTTGCGCGCCACCTATATATCGGATACACCCTGTATGCGTACTATTTCCGAGAAACTTTGTTTAGTTAAGAAATACTGTGGTCCAGTGGCTCGTCATACGACTAAAGATTTTGCTGAAATCATAAGAGTACCAGCTACACCGCCCAGCTGTGATCATTTGAGTAAAGTTGTAAGACTTTCATATGAGATTTGTGTAAAGGCCATAATGAATCATTTTATGAGAGATCCCAAAACTATAATACCCATAACAGTTGGCAATGTACCATTAGTAACGCCAAACGTTGAAACGGAGCCGCCCAGTATCGATGATGTACCCACAACATCGGCCTGTGCCATGCAACGTGCCGAGGGTGATGATCATAATTTGTTGAGTGAAGAAACGGAAGTTGATTATGAATTACGTAAGTATTCTAATAAGAAAATATAATAAAATATTTTAATAAAAACTCTTACTTTTTTTCTAGCCCCTCCCACTTATGAAGAGGCCATGTTTATGACCACGAATATAGCTGATGATGATGCTAATACTGTGAGTGAAAATGCTCAATTTACTCCACGTTATCCGGTCTATGATGTTGATAATATTGTTATGTCGTCTGCTATGGCCCAAAGTCCACCACCTAATCCTCCTCAAAAGCGACGAAAACGTAGAAAGAAGAACACCTCACAACCTGAAATGTCTAGCATTGAAGAAAAACCTCCCAGGGAATCACCGGTGGGGATTTAATTGTTTGCATTTAAAGAGATTTAATAAATTATATCATTTACAGCTAAATTCCTAAGAAGATTTATTTGTTTTTAAAACGCTGCATACAACTAGTTCGGAGGGTAACAATTTTGCCAATTCTAAAGGTGACAAAGTTGAACTGAATTCATCGCCTATAAAGTAAAACTGTAGAGAATACCAGGATAATCCAAATCACAACTTTAGACTTTAACTCTGACCGTGCAACATGAATATTCTGTGTATTATTCGGCCAATTCTCACTTAAAAATAATCTGTTGATCCAACTAAATACATAGTATTACATTAGTTCCATATACATATATTAGGCTTTTGTGTCGTTTTCTAAGGCCTCTCGGCCTTAATTCGTATTATACCCAATTTCTCTGCTTTTCAATGAATCCTTCTGTCTACAACCATTATTAAATTTTTTCTTGAGTAGGTTAAGTTACGTGGGTTGCTCGCTAGTTAGCGAGTTCACTCGGCGAGTTCACCTGTGATATCCTTAGAATTGCCATTCCCATAAGTTGAGAGAATTTCGTTGATTACTTGGTTCTTGCGGTCTCCGCAAAAACCAGCCGGTGTTTCTAATAAAACCGATCAAGTTTACTAGTGACACATCTCTGAAACAGTCCAGATCCTGGAAAAGAGCTCTACCAAGATATAGTAGTCTGTGCTCTTGTAAGGCTGAGCAGTCACATAGAAGGTGTTGTAGCGATTCCACTTCTTCTTCGTCCAAACAGCTTCTGCAGTAACTATTATGTGGATAGCCCATATGTCCAATTATACAGCGCCCATCAATTACACCAGTTAGAAGCCTACTCGAGTTTTTACTAAGAGACAAGAAAGTCCTAGACTTATCCGTTGTCAGAGTGGGCCAAAGCATTCTCGATATTCTACAAGTAGTGATGATATTTGTCCACCAGAGTTCCGTCTCACTCAAAGCCTAGTCATCTATCAATTTTGATAGGGTCACCAGGGGAATGTGAATATCCCTTTGTGCAAGTCTGGGGTCAACCCTTTGGTTGCGCATTCATCAGATATTTAATTTCCCCGGATGCCCACATGTCCCGGAATCCATATGAAGTCAACTTGATATTGTGTGAGTTGTACCAATGATTGAATATAGTTACTAAGAGGCAAGAGGGTCCTAGTCTTAACCGTTGTCAGAGTGGGCCTGAGCAGTCTAGATATTCTACAAGTGGTGATGATATTTGACCACCTGAGTTCCATCTCACTCAAAGCCTAGTCATCTATCAATTTTGATAGGGTCACCAGGGGAGTATGAATATCCCTTTGTGCAAGGGTTAAGTCTGGGTTTAACCCTTTGGTTGAGGATTCATCAGATATGTCATTTCCCCGTGGACATTGTTGGTAGTCCCAAACAGGAATCATTTTAATTGACAAGTCTTATTTCAGTGGCCAAAAAGACCCACTGTGATAAGTAAAGCATATTTTAGAGTAAACTCCAACACACTCTACCATTAAGGAAAATCGCCGATAAATTGAAGAAAGGGCAGTGGCGATCTCTCACCACACTTCGTTTTGCCAAATTAATCATCAATTCTTGGTCTTTTTCATCGACTTATTTTTAATTATATTTAAATTAAAAGTTTTATAATTTTCTCTTCATAAAAAGTATATTCAGTTTATAATTTTTATTAAGCATATATCAGATAGTATAAGGCTGAGAAAGTATTACACAGAGATTTTCGAAATATTACTAATTATTTAGAGGGAAATTGGAGAAAACATTGAGATATGAACAAAAGTACTTAATTAAAGTTTAGTCGGAGATGACCGAAAATATGATATCCAACACCTTACGCTGTACATTGGACCAGCCTTGGCGGGGGTAATGATTACACAAAGTAATTCATTACATGGTCAATTATAATTACTAGTAATGTGTATTTAAGCAATAACTAATGACAATTACTTGTAATTTAGGTATTACAAAAATTCACAATTACAAGTAATTGTAATTGGAAATTCTTCTACAAGTAATTGCAATTGAAAATTTTGTAATTAAATTGTGTAATTAAGCAATAACCAATATCAATTACTTGTAATTTAGGTATTACAAATTACATTTAATTATAAGGTAAAAAATCCACAATTACAAGTAATTGTAATTGGTAATTCTTTTACAAGTAATTGTTATTAAAAATTGTTTAATTACAATTACAAGTAATTGTAATTGGTAGAACTTTAATTACATTTACAAGTAATTGTAATTGGCAAAACTTCTATTACAATAGCAAGTAATTGCAATTAAAGTTTTGTGATCTTTAACCGCCAGTTTTATAAAGACATCAAATAGATGCCTAAAATCGGAAAGTGATTTTAGATCATTCCGGAAAATTGTACAGATCAGTAAAGGTGTAGGATATAAATTAATTAATACAAAATTTTATATAATTTCTAACTATTATTTTCGAATTATATATCATCTCTCACTACTGATTTACAATTTTAGATAAATTTTCACTTAATCAGATAACTAAATTAAAATCTATGTATCTATTCTAAGAATCAGAATTTATAGTTTTAAAACTTTTAATTAATATCATTATCTTTCTCATATATTTGGCTTTAGGACCTTAAAAATATTTGTAACCCTTTTCGATTGGTGTTCTTAATTGTTATTAAGTGAAAGCGATTTGAGCAGAAAAATGGCACAATTTAATTTTATTCACAGCACTAAGTTGGCAACACAGCATTCCGTATAAAACTAACTATTAGTATTAGCAACTAGATGATCAAATCTACCAGACTGTTGAAAGAAACCTGTAATATTAACAAATCAGATAATGTTGCTATTAGATAAAAATGGAAATAAGCAATTACCCATATCATAATGCTATTGCAACTGTGAATTTAACATTCCTTGCAGTCTAATTGACTCTAAACTATAGTTTGCTTGTAAATGGGATATAAAGGTCTGAAATCATCAATACGATGACTTTCATCGGCATCATTATCAATAAATGGCGAACCACTGCGTACACCCTCTTCGAATGAAGGTTGATCTAAGAGAGAATGAGAAATAATTCTTTACTTTAAAATATTTAATTAATTTTCAATTTTTACTTACCATTATCATAAAACTCCAGTAAACTATCATAAGAGGCGATTGATAACTCAGAAGTGGACGGTGTCATACTACTTTGTGGCTTTAAAGTTCTACTAGGTGAACGAGGACGTTTAACAATATCACTACCTCCGGTTGGTGTTGATGTTGTTGAGGCTGTTGGCGATGAAGCTGTTGCTAGATCTGTTGTACTACTGGCATTCGATTTCAAAGCCATAACACGATCTTGCGCCAAAGTTGCTGGTCTTTGACGAATCAAACTCTCTTGCAAAGGTATAGTACCTATAACTATAGGTATACTTATAGGAAAATCTTTGTGACCACTAACATGAGCTATAATCTTCATTAAATATTCAACACGTATGAAATTACAATTAACTTCACTTGGTGGCACTGAAGGTATAATAAATTGTCCCTTCCATAGACGACTCGACAAACGTTTACATGGTTCAATAAATGTTATGCGTAAAATAATATTTTCATCGGTGAATTCTTTTTTCTTAGGCAACAGCAAATCCGTTGATTTCGCAATGCATAGGAATTTTTGTGAAAATTCTAAAGTATAACCATCTACATCAGTTTTCGATTGATTATTTATGTGGAATGTGTATTTGACAGTTTGGCCAGGTGCGTATGCACTGAAGGGAATTTGTACGTTGTAGAATATTTTACCACTCGTATAGGGTGTATAGGAGTCATCGACGGAAATGTTTAGCTAGGGGTAGAAGAGATAATAATAATTAATATTTAAAGCAAATTTTGTTTTATAAATATAGTAAATTTTGAATAATTTATAAATATATTTTAATACTACATAGACATAATTGCCTAAACACTGATATATAGTATGTTTAACTTTTGTTTTAATTTCACTTTAAAATATTAGTTTCTAATACAACCTCTTGTAAAGAAATTCTTTTACAATAACTAAGCCTTCTATGCACTTCTCACTTTATAATGTACCCATCTTTCTATGCATAGTAAAGTCAACTGTGTTTGTTAGTGTGCGGCTGTGATTGGTCGTTAATGAAACATACTTTTATGATTTTCGCACATCGCTTAAGTACTATTTGTAAACGAAAAATCGTTCAAGACTTCCAAAAAAAGTGCTCGTTCGTAGATTACATGAGGTACATATTTGGCAAAAATAAGATAAATACTGTGGAATGGTTTCAAAATTAAAATTTACTCTTTGGTAAAAAACTAACTAACTAACTAACTAACACTAACTAATAATCTAACTAAACTAACTAACTAACTAACTAACTAACTAACTAACTAACTAACTAACTAACTAACTAACTACTAACTAACTAACTAACTAACTAACTAACTAACTAACTAACTAACTAACTAACTAACTAACTAACCTAACTAACTAACTAACTAACTAACTAACTAACTAACTAACTAACTAACTAACTACTAACTAACTAACTAACTAACTAACTAACTAACTAACTAACTAACTAACTAACTAACTAACTAACTAACTAACTAACTAACTAACTAACTAACTAACTAACTAACTAACTAACTAACTAACTAACTAACTAACTAACTAACTACTAACTAACTAACTAACTAACTAACTAACTAACTAACTAACTAACTAACTAACTAACTAACTAACTAACTAACTAACGAACACGAACAACGAACGAACGAACGAACGAAACGAACGAACGAACGAACGAAAACGAACGAAACGAACGAACGAACGAACGAACGAACGAACGAACGAAGAACGAACGAACGAACGAAACGAACGAAACGAACTACGAACGAACGAAACGAAAACGAACGAACGAACGAACGAAAACGAACGAACGAACGAACGAACGAACGAACGAACGAACGAACGAACGAACAACGAACGACGAACGAAACGAACGAACGAACGAACGAACGAACGAACAACGAACGAACACGAACGAAACGAAAACGAACGAACAACGAACGAACGAACGAACGAACGAACGAAACGAACGAACGAACGAACGAACGAAACGAACGAACGAACGAACGAACGAACGAACGAACGAACGAACGAACGAACGAACGAACGAACGAACGAACGAACGAACGAACGAACGAACGAACGAACGAAACGAACGAACGAACGAACGAAACGAAGAACGAACGAACGAACGAACGAACGAACGAACGAACGAACGAAACGAACGAACGAACGAACGAACGAACGAACGAACGAAACGAACGAACGAAACGAACGAACGAACGAACGAACGAACGAACGAACGAACGAACGAACGAACGAACGAACGAACGAACGAACGAACGAACGAAACGAACGAAACGAACGAACGAACTAAACGAACGAACGAACGAACGAACGAAGAACGAACGAACGAACGAACGAACGAACGAACGAACGAACGAAACGAACGAAAACGAACGAACGAACGAACGAACGAACGAACGAACGAACGAACGAACGAACAAACGAACGAACTAACGAACGAAAACGAACGAACGAACGAAGAACGAACTAAAACGAACGAACTAACGAACTAACTACTAACGAAGAACTAACGAACTAACGAACGAACGAACAACGAACTAACTACTAACTAACGAACTAACTAACTAAACTAACTAACTAACTAACTAACTAACTAACTAACTAAGAACTAACTAACTAACTAACTAACTAACTAACTAACTAACTAACTAACTAACTAACTAACTAACTAACTAACTAACTAACTCGAACTAACTAACAACACTAACTAACTAACTAACTAACTAACTAACTAACTAAAACTAACTAACTAACTGAGCCAGTGTGAAGTGATTTCTTCTTCGTAAAATTTAATGACTATCGGCCCATAATTCACCCTACCTCCATTTAAAATTCCTCTCGGTAAATTACTTTAACGCTTATGATTAGCTATAAAATTTGACATAAACAGGTTTTGTAGCAACTAAAATCTTTCTGACAAAAAATATAACGCTTTAAAAATTAAAAGATTTTCAAGGAACTTAGATCACTCTGGCAATTTTTATGAACATCGGTCTATAATTGATACCACCCATATATATAAGGTATCTTTCCAATTATGACAATGTATAATGCTCATAACTTGCTTCTAAATGTGAGTACAATAACGAAATTTGACATAAACAGGTTTTATAGGAATTATAAAATTATCGGTCCATATTGGACCCTACTTCGATATAAACATTCATAAATTTCTTTCTAGCAACGAAATTCGACATAAACTATAGTAAGTAATATCTTTCTCCAGGTTTATGAATAAAGTTATCGAATCATATAGTATAGGACCTACCAAAATTCACATGAGCACGGCTGAGCACAGAACTCTTACTTGTTTTCTTATAAACAATTTTATGAAATCACTGTAACCAAATTACTGAAGTAGTTGCGGATTTTTAACTACATTCCAACGATTACTATGGATATCTTATTTTTCTAATCCTCATTTCTTTATTATCATGCATCATACAAATTATTTTGTTTGAATTATTTATGCAAATTCAATGTCTGCTGCATTAGCACACATGCACACACACACACACACAATACTTACCATTATATTTCACTTACCTTATAATCACGATGTAAATTTAAATCAACTTTTTGCAAAACCGTTAATGGT